GTTTGTTGTTTTTTTGTGGTTCCTAGAAACCCACTTTCTAGCTAAAGTAGACATCTTATGCACAAATCCTGCACGTGTACTTCTAGAGTAATGTTGTCTCTTCGAGAAAATAAGCCCGTTTTGAAGATTTGAAACCCACAGGACGAGTCATGGACATGTTTGTAACTTGTTTTAAATGGCTCATCCGCGTTCGGGCGCGGCGATTCTGGCCTGAAAACGCCGAAAAAAATGTAAACAAGTTACAAAAATGTGAATATCTCATTTTGTAAGTATCAATTCGGCCCAAGGAGCTTATTTGCTGATCCTTCAACCTTACTCTTTAAGTACGCGTTGAGGTTTTGTCGTTAAGACGACTACTTCAGCTGGAAAGTGGTTTACCAACTAACGCGGTAAAGTGGTGAAAACGGCAAAAACGGCCGTGCACGCATCGCCGCAGCCAAGGCCCGCCAAATCAGCCCCGTTTCCACCCCCTGGCTCTGCTCACGGAGAGTCGTTCCCCGCTCCGTCTCTGTCGCACTCATGGGCCGTCCCGCAGGGGTGCGAGAGAGACATTTCGGAGTCGCTGGGTGGAGCGCGATCTGACTTCAAAACTGCGGACGGTTTATTCAGACAAACCGCGGTTTTGTCGGGTTTGACGATAATGGCGCAAACTTTTTGGCACCTGCCGTCAGTTTGTTGTTTGGGTTTTAAAGCGCCGCTACCGGAATCGGCTTTAAGGCCACACAGCCCCCCGGCGCGCTCGCAACCAGGCGACGGGGCTGTCGGTTGGGTTGCCTACCCTGCCGTCGGCGGGCGCTTCCTCCCCGGCGGAGCCAGGACTGCGACTCTTCGAAGCAGTGCTCCCTGGGAGCAACAACAATGGTGGCACTCACACACTCACTGCGCGCCATGGTCCGTTCGGAGCGTGGCAGACGGGGCCAGACTTTTGGCCAGACTGCCCGTGCGACGTGCGATCCCCAGGGCGGAGAAGAAGAGAGAGAGCGGTGCAGTCCGGAAGCCCCAATGCCTTCCCAGCGAACAGACTCTCCCTCTTCGATTCGCTGCAGACGTCATCCGCATGCTTGCCGCCAATAAAAACGAATAGAGGAAGCCGCCAAGAGGGAGACGCAAGACGCGCAATCCCATTGATTGCTATTTTGACCCAAAGAGAGGGGGGAGGCATTGCTGTCTAATCTCTGTTGACGATCAGATGAGCTCTCCCGGAGCACGCGGCGGGCAGCCTGGTGGGCCTGGTGGGCCTGCTGGGCCGGGGAGGATGAGGCTGCCGACTGATTCCAAAGAGCCGCTCGCTTCGAGGCGCTGTCTCCGTCGCACTCGCGGGGCGGCCCCAATGGCGGCCCGCAGGCCCGTAGGGGTGCGAGAGAGACGGACCTCTTGCCGTTTCAATAAACACCGCGCGGCGCGAACGGAAACAACGCGGACAAAGACAGGCAGGCAAGCCCTGCCGAGAAAAAATAAGAAGAAAAAAAGATAAAAATGGCGCCAAACTTTGGCTCTTTTTTTACTGCTGACTAGCGCTCCGTTATTATTTTTCCTCCGGCTTGGCAGTACAGTTGGCTCCAAAAGCGACGCGGCCGGAGCTTCCAGCCTCACAGCCTTCCAGCAGCGGGCCGCCCCACTGGCAGATAAAGGGCCCGGATGCCCCTGTGTGCGTGGCGTGTGTACACCGTGTGCGTGCACGCCAGTGCGTGTGAGACTTCTTATCTCTCGTAATCCCTGATCCTCGCCTCTCTCTATCTCTCTCTCTCTCTCTCTCTCTCTCTCTCTCGTAATCACAACCTACCTACCTAACTGCCCCGCATTGCCCCGCATCCGGTACCTCCCGCCTCTCCGTCTGGCTGGAGCGGGGGGGGGGGGGGGGGGGGGCTGCGAGGCGGGCGATTCGAAAGGCCGGATAAATATTTGAGCCGTGCGAGGCGGTTCACGTTCACACCGCTGCCTGCCGCGCTATGCGGACTCACCCTAAACCATTCGGATTAGATAATGTGTGTAACGTGCACTGTTTCGAAAAAAAAGAGGACAAAACCACAAACAACTACGCGGGCCATGGAAATGACCCTGCTGGGTAACATTTGTAATCGCGTCCCGGTCCGCGCGGGGTCCGCGGTGCGCCCTCCGCGGCCGGTGTGGCAGGTGAGCGTGCCGTCCCGTGCCGTCGCGTCGCGCCGCCGGCGTGCCGCGTGCCGCGGTGTACCGCCAAAGAATTAGTATGTATGGCGCCGCGCCGCGACCCTTCCCCCTCCGACCCCTCCCCTCCGGCGCCTCCCCTCCGACCCCTCCCCTCCCCTCCAGCGCCGCCCCGGCACTCTCTGAGGGGCCTAATTACACGCCGGATTAACGTGCAGATCGGCGAGTGCCGCGAACGTGAGTGCGGGCACGAGCTACACTGCAAAAAGACGAAAAACAAAAACAAAAAACAAAAAAGCAAAGACAAAGCGGTGCGCAATCGCGTTCTAAACCGGCGGGTTGCAGCGGCGGAACATCCTGCCGCCCGGACCGCCCGCACTGGAACACACACACACAGACAGACACACCTCGCCTTTTGTGTGGAACGACCTTGCCGGAAAGTCGCACGACCGAAATAATAAAAAGCGAACGGCGCAGAGCGGGCGACTCTTGGATGGGGGCGCAGCAGCAGGACGGGGGCGGCGAAAAAAAAAGAAAAAAAAAAAAAACATCAACCGAAACGGGGCGAAAAAAGAAAATCTAGTTTGGCGGTGATCGGACAATGGGGACATAATAAAGGGAAACCTTTTGGCGCAACCGATGCAATGAAGTATTCAGTGGGCCGGCTCGCTCGGCTCGCCTGGCCCGGCCCACTGATAGTGCGGGGAGGTGGGGCAGGACGGCCAGAACGGCCAGAAAGCCGCTGATCTTTCTCCGTCTCCCTTTGTCCCGGCGGCAGCGGTCTCGCCGCGCTGTCTCTCTCGCACCCGCGGGCCGGCCAGAGCGGGAGCGAGAGAGACAGAGAAGGCGCGGCGCGGACGGCCTTCCAGGAGCACACCCACACTGGATTCGGATTCCTTTTGTCGAGCGCCTCCAGCAAGTGGCCAATCCCAGCAGACTGAGGGTCGTCTTCGTCGCTCCGTCTCTCTCGCACCCGTGAGTGCGCCCCGTGCGTGCGAGAGAGACGGAGCGAGACCCTCGGAATCAGTCTGCAGCGAGCGTGTCTCGCTGGCCCGGGCAGGGGCGGGTCGGGAGGACCGGTCGGATGGGGATGGACGGATGGGGGAGCGCAGCGAGGCTGGCGAAGCGCGGCAGCGCGGGTTCGAATCCCCGAAGTCATTTCGTTTTAAACGGGCACCCGGGCGGTGCGGTGTGATTCGAACCCCTGCCAACGCGGGAAGCAGGTACTTTTGCCCACTCCGGCGTGCCCCAGGGCCCCGTCTGTGGCCCCCGCAGCCGCATAGCTTCCCGGCCGATGTTTCAGGCTGCAGTATTCAGGCTTCATCAGATAGCGGCAGTGCCACTCGAACGGGCCGGGCGCCACGCGGCGCCACGCCACTCTAGCAGAAAGCAAAGCAACCCCGATGAGGCGAGGCCGGGGCCCAGTGAAGCAGGCCCGGTGAAGCAGGCTCCTCTTTCATTTGCTGCTCTCGTACTCGCTGCGACACGGTAACAATCAAGGGACGGACCGTCCAATCCCAGCAACAGCATTCCGTGACCTTTGTCCGTCTCTCTCGCGACCGCACGGAGCGCCCGGCGAGTGCGAGAGAGAGAAAGCACTGTTGTTCGACTCAGCCTGCAGCCGGTGCAGGGGTTGCCCCGAGCGCCCTTTGGCCTTTGGCCTTTGTCACGATCTCGGTCACGAACCCACGCGTTCGGCAGCCACGTCACGCGCAGCGCGGAGCGTGGCGCGCCCAGAGGGTGGCTGCACCGGGGGCAGACGCTTGAGGTTTGGGTCACGGTCAGCATTCGGTCAGTTCTGAACTGAGGACCCCCTATCCAACTCCCTAGCCAGCCGGGGAGTTGAGCAGGTTGCTGTCGACGTGAAGCAGTGATGAAACCGTCGGGGGACGCCCCGCCCTGCCCCGCCCCGCCCCGCCCCGCCCCGCCCCGCCCCGCCAAGCGCATTACAAATGGCAGCGTCCCGCGCGCTTTTCGCCTCGTTCGAGTCCTGCAGACCGATTCCGAGAGCCGTTTTCGTCGCTCTGTCTTTCTCGCACTCATGGGCTGTCCCGTATGGGTGCGAGAGAGACAGAGCGACGAATGCGACTCTCGGAATCAGTCTGCCACTGTGGAGGGTGGGCGCCGTGGCGCCATGAAAAATGAGCCTGCCACACACATTCCTCCGCGCCCACCTCGCGTGTTCTACCGGAATCCCTGAGCGTGTAGGTGTGTGTGTGCGGGACGCGCTCAGTGGGTGGCACAACATGCTGAGCGCTCGTACTTGAGTTTGTAGGTGTGTGCGAGGGGGGATGCGCATGTCTGTGTGTGGAGGGGGTTGATGGCACGAAAAGAATTCACTCCCGCCGCGTGGAGTCTATCGGAGAGGGACCAAGACACACACACACACACACAGCTGCGGGCGTGTGTGAGTAATCAGAGTTATTTCTCAGCGGGACAGGTGGGAGGCGCGCCATAACAGCGCCCCGGGGGATGGGAGCGAACAGTGCAGCAAAAGGTGTTGTAGTGGTATGAGATTACGTTGGCAGTACCGCCCAGAAGTCGGGTATGAGAACTATTCGTGTCACTGCCTTGTAACCCTGGTGTCCATACTATGCAACTAACCTATGAATAATAAATCTCTCTCTGGAGTGTTCCCTTTGGTCATTGAGTCTGAGTCTTTGTTCCTGTGATCCCAAATATTCGAGAACAACTATTCTGTTCAAGAATAGAACATGGCGCAGTCGTAATCGAATCTTAACAAGTGCTCTGTCATTGTGAGTAATAAATTCTTGATCGGGAGATTGAGAAAAGTGAAAAAATCAGTCTGGTTAAACCGGTGGTCTGGTCTCGCTACTTGCTTTGTGGCTTGGTGGTGGTGAATTCTGCTGAAAATGGGTGATAATCATCTAAAAAGCCCTGGGCCTGTCAATTTAAAGTCAGGTAATATTCAGAAGTCATGGGAAACTTTCAAGCAGAAGTTTGGATTCTTCTTAACCGCAATTGGAAAGGCTAAAGCGGCGTCGGATGTTCGATGCGCACTCCTGATGGGAGAGGCCGGGGATGAAGCTTTGGAGGTTTATAATGCCTTTAAAGATAAGCTGATATCCAAAACAACCAACGATCAAGGAGAGGAGGTCATTGAACATGACTATACAAACAACTATGACAAGGTTGTTGAGCAGTTTGACCTCTATGCGGCGGAGAAAAAATGCATTACGGGTTGTCGTGAACTGTTTAATGCGCGAAATCAAAAAAAGGAGGAAACGTTTTCCAACTGGCTAACAGATTTGCGAAACTTGGTGAAAGACTGTGAGTACGCAACTATTGTTGATAGTATGCTGAAGGACAGAATTATATGGGGTGTCTGGGACAAGAGGTTAAGAGACACTCTGAGATCCAAGTCAAATCAGAGTTTATCTGATATTATTGATCTGTGCAAGGCAGTTGAAGCTACGGCACGATATCCGAAGTTGAATGGTGATAACGATAATGCCCAAAATGTCGAGGCTATCCAGTCATTCAACAAAAACCGTAGCAAGAATGGCATTCCCTCTCAACCCTACCAAAAGAACAAAGGTGGAGGAAAGATGAAAAATTCACAGTACCACAACCGACCCGGTCCAGGCTATAAATCAAAGAGGAATGGATCACAACAGGGAGAAAATTCAGGATCAAGGAAAAACAACCAACAGTTGTTTAAATACAAGTGCAGAAAATGTAATAGAGTGCATGAGGCGGGCAACTGTCCGGCTTATGGCCAAATTTGCTCTGCTTGTAATGGAAAAAATCACTGGGAAGTTGTGTGCCGTAACAAAGGACAACAAAATGCTGGCAATTTTAAAAAGCAAAGTAAGGTTGACAGTCTTGCTACTGTGACTAATCAACTTCAAGATTGCTTGCTTAGCTCGTGGACAGATGATGGTGCGAGTACCAGGTATGTACATATGTTAACTGCTGTTAAAAGAAAAAATGAAATTATTGTCAGTGGGGAGAGTAAAAGACCTAGAAAAGAATACACTGAGGTATTAAAACTTCAGGGGGTTCACTTTGTAAAATTTAAGTTGGATCCTGGGTCTGAAGTAAATATTCTGCCATTTCATGTTTTCCAAATAATTGACAAAGGGTATACTGTCAATCCCACTAACACCGTGCTGAAGGCTTATGGGAATGTTTTAAGCTCACCTAAAGGTACAGTAAGGTTGAGTGTTGAAACAAAATATGGTGGCAAAATGATTTGTGAGTTCCTACTCTCTACAATTGATCCTAGACCAATTCTTGGTATAGAAGCATGTGAAATTTTAAATCTGGTAAAAAGAGTTGAACATCAGTCTAAAGATGTGAAAACTGTCACAGTGATGTCTCAGTTACTGCCAGAGTCTAAAATTGTGTTCCTAGAAAAATACAAGGAACTATTCACAGGTCTGGGTGAGTTCAAAAATAAAGTAAAAATTACTGTTGACCCCAATGTTACACCTGGAATGTGCCCTCCTAGAAGGTATCATTTTTCAGTGAATGATAGACTTAAAACTAAACTGGAAAGTTTAGTACAAAGAGGTATTGTGGCCAAAGTTACTGATGAAATTCCAAAATTTGTTAGTAATTTGGTAATTAGAGAAAAAAGTGATGGTGATTTAAGAATTTGTCTTGACCCGGAATTGCTGAATCAGGCAATAGTCAGACAAAAATATGTAATTCCAGATGTTGATAACTTGTCATGTCAGGTTAAAGACATGGAGGTTTTCACAGTGTTAGACCTGAAAGAAGGGTTTTGGCATGCTACATTGGATGATGAGTCAAGTCTTCTGTGTGCATTTGCTACCCCTCATGGAATTTACAGATTCTTAAAAATGCCATTTGGGTTGAAGTGTGCACCTGAAATATTCCAGTTTATGACTGAAACAGTATTTCAGGGTACAGGCGCAATAGTATATTTTGATGATTGTCTTATAGCAGGTAAAGACTATGAGGATCATGATCTAAAACTTCAAAAAGTAATGGAGAAGGCCAAAGAGCAGAATGTTAGGTTTAATCCTGGTAAAATTCAGTACAGACAAAAAGAAGTAAAATTCCTGGGACACTTGTGGTCAAAAAATAAAACCAAAGTGGATCCAGAAAGAGTTCGAGCAATAAAAGCAATTAAAGAACCAAAAACAAAAACACAACTCCAAAAATGTTTGGGTATTTTTAACTATCTGAGAAAATTTATTCCTCAGATGGCTACAATTGCTGCTCCACTCTATGAATTGCTGTCTAATGCTGTTCTTTATAAATGGATGCCTACACATGCAAAAGCTCTTCAAACTCTAAAAGAAAGTATTTCAAAGGCCCCTGTCTTGGCTACATTTGATAGCAAAAAGCCAATTATAATTCAAGCGGATGCCAGCCAGTATGGACTGGGCTGCTGTCTCTTGCAAGATAAAAAACCTGTAGTTTTAGATTCCAGAATTCTCACTGAAACAGAAAAGAATTATGCTCAGATTGAGAAAGAAATGCTGGCTTTGTGCTATGCTGCCCATAAGTTTGAAAAATACATTTGGGCAGGGGGTGGCAACAGCCTAGTGCGCGCGTGAAGCTATGCGCGCCGCTCGGGCCGGCAAGGAGCGGCCGGGCGGCTGGGCCGCGCGGCCGAACCAAATTAAACGGAACTTTGTCAAAACTGCATCGAACTGAGTAAACGAGGTCATTTTTAGATTCTACGCAAAATTTCCTATCCGTGAGTGACAATGGAATGGACTTTTGGATATGTGAAACAGTTCTAAAATCAATTTGAAAACCAAATTTACGGCACCAGACAGCCGACTTGAAGTTTCCCTTTCACTAAAAAAGCTGTTTCCGTTCGTTTTAGGTCCATACATACAGCGAGCCGATTGTTGGCCACTATTTTCCGGGTTGCGTGGTACACTTGGAACGCCAATACGACTTCTGTAGCAGAAATGCCGATCCAAAAACTAATTTCCATTTTTGGTCCAAAATTGTATTTTGCAACTTTGGAGGTTAAAAGCACAGTTTGAAATAGGTTTCTCAGCATTGTCAACCTCACTAAGCAACCCAGAATTCAATTCTCTATCGCCCTGCTGTGTTGGATTTGCAAAAGGAGGTCAAACTTCTAATTGAAACGAAAAGGCCCGAAGCGCTGCAAAACCGCCAAAACAGTTCAAGTATTTTGTGGAGCTTAATGTGTGAAAACTATTTCTCAGATTGTAAATCCAACCACACCACCTTGTAGGCCAGTCAATTCTACAGCTCCAGTGTAAGTTTCATCGCAATCGGAGACCAAGAGTAAAGACAGCTATAATAATTGTAAATCCCATCAGTTTGGTTGATTGGTCGAGCGGGCGCAAGTATGAGAAATCGCTGCGGCAGATTTTTGCAGCTAACTTTAAAATATATTCTGCCGCCTTCACTCTTGGTCTCCGATTGCGATGAAACTTACAATGGAGCTGTAGAATTGACTGGCCTACAAGGTGGTGTGGTTGGATTTACAATCTGAGAAATAGTTTTCACACATTAAGCTCCACAAAATACTTGAACTGTTTTGGCGGTTTTGCAGCGCTTCGGGCCTTTTCGTTTCAATTAGAAGTTTGACCTCCTTTTGCAAATCCAACACAGCAGGGCGATAGAGAATTGAATTCTGGGTTGCTTAGTGAGGTTGACAATGCTGAGAAACCTATTTCAAACTGTGCTTTTAACCTCCAAAGTTGCAAAATACAATTTTGGACCAAAAATGGAAATTAGTTTTTGGATCGGCATTTCTGCTACAGAAGTCGTATTGGCGTTCCAAGTGTACCACGCAACCCGGAAAATAGTGGCCAACAATCGGCTCGCTGTATGTATGGACCTAAAACGAACGGAAACAGCTTTTTTAGTGAAAGGGAAACTTCAAGTCGGCTGTCTGGTGCCGTAAATTTGGTTTTCAAATTGATTTTAGAACTGTTTCACATATCCAAAAGTCCATTCCATTGTCACTCACGGATAGGAAATTTTGCGTAGAATCTAAAAATGACCTCGTTTACTCAGTTCGATGCAGTTTTGACAAAGTTCTGTTTAATTTGGTTCGGCCGCGCGGCCCAGCCGCCCGGCCGCTCCTTGCCGGCCCGAGCGGCGCGCATAGCTTCACGCGCGCACTAGGCTGTTGCCACCCCCTGATTTGGGGTATGCCTGATGTATTGTTCCAAACTGATCACCAACCTTTGATTCATATTTTCAAAAAACCTATTTACAAAATAACCAACAACAGGTTGAAAAAAATGAGACTCAAATTACTCAGATTCCAACCTAAAGTTGAGTATTTACCGGGTAAATATATGCATATAGCTGATTTACTGTCTAGAAATTGCCTGGAAGATCCTGTAGAGGATGATCCAGAAATGGTTGAGGTTGTACATGAGGTGACAAAATATATTGACATGTCACTCAATGTCAAGGCTGATCTGGTGAGAGAAACAGCAAACGACCCAGGTTTGTCAGCTGTGATGCAATATTACCAGGAAGGTTGGCCTAAAAATAACAAAGATATTGTTAATGAGGCAAAACCATATTGGAAACTGAGAATGGATATCTTTGTAGAAGATAAATTGGTAATTCTGGAAGATAGAATAATCATTCCGGTATCGCTCAGGAAAAAAGTTTTGAAAAATTTACATACCGCTCACTTGGGTGTTGAGAAAACCAAAAGTAGAGCCAGGCAATCTGTGTATTGGCCAGGTATGTCAAATGACATAACCACATTTATAAAAGAATGTCGGACATGTGAAAGACATAGTGCCAAAAATAAACATGAGCCACTAATTCCACATGACATTCCGCAATTGAGGTTCCAGAAAATAGGAATTGATATATTACATTTTAATTCCAAAGATTTTTTGGTTGTTGAGGACTACTTGTCAAAATGGTTAGAAATAAAACCACTGTCAAGTAAAAGTAGTAAAGCTGTAATAGATGCACTGAGATCTATTTTCTCTACTCATGGTAATCCACAAATAATATTTGGTGATAATAATCCGCTCAATTCACATGAGTGTCATGAGTTTGCAAAAAGCATGGGGAGTGTGATTAAAACCAGTTCACCTGAATATGCTAGAAGCAATGGACTGGCTGAAAAAGGAGTTCATATTGCTAAACAAATGCTTAAAAAATGCAGTGATTCTGGTACGCATATTCTGGATGCTCTCAAGGAGTATAATAATACACCTTTAACGGGTATGAATGTGTCTCCAGCTGAAATACTTATGAGTAGAAAGTGTCGTACTTTAGTCCCAATACTAAACAAAAATCTCGAACCAAAAGTTGTAAAGGTTAAGCAAGTGCTGGAAAGATTGCAAGATAAAGTAAAATCTCAACATGACTTGCATGCTAACCGTAAACCTGTACACTTTTCGCAAGGTGACAGTGTGGTTGTCAGACGAGGAAAGAAATGGCAGAAAGGGAATATAGTTCGTAAACTTTCTGGTAACAGAAGTTACGTAGTTGAACTATTAGGGGGAGGTCAGTTACGCAGAAATACGTGGCATTTGAAACATTCTAGTACCAAACCGGACAGAGTTGATGCTAGAGAAAATAAAGAAATTGATGCTGATGCAATTCTCGCCAATATTAGAGCTGGTGAAAAGAAAGTGACCATTAACCCTAACCCTACTGTTCGTGCTGTTTCTGTTCCAGCAGCTCAAGGATTGATGACATTTGAGTCACGACAAACAACAAGATTTGGTCGGAAGATCCTAAAACCACATCGTTATGATGGGAGCTGTTAATAAATATTATTCATGTAATCAAATATATTACTCTGTATTTTTATATCAAATATAATCAACTTTTGTATTCTGCTATGTGTTTGTTTACTTTCAACGTAGAAAGTGTTGCCAACTGAATACTTTAGTGTCTCGAAGGGGGAGGTGTTGTAGTGGTATGAGATTACGTTGGCAGTACCGCCCAGAAGTCGGGTATGAGAACTATTCGTGTCACTGCCTTGTAACCCTGGTGTCCATACTATGCAACTAACCTATGAATAATAAATCTCTCTCTGGAGTGTTCCCTTTGGTCATTGAGTCTGAGTCTTTGTTCCTGTGATCCCAAATATTCGAGAACAACTATTCTGTTCAAGAATAGAACAAAAGGTACCCGTCGAGGTGGCCGTCGAAGCACCGCCGGGCGCGCCGATTCCCCCAGTGTTGTGGCGAACCGCGGCGGGGCCGGGGGCGGTCGGGGGCGGTCGGGGGCGGTCGGGGGCGGCACTGGGGAGGTCAAAGGGGCCGTTGCGCGGGGCAGGGCCGTGGCACGGCCGTTACAGAGTGGCCAAAGACCTGCTCGGTTGGAAAGCAAACTTTGGAGAGGCACAGCCATAAGCCTGGGAACCGCAGCTGGGCAGCGGTAGAGCTTGAGACGGGGCGGGGCGGCGGCGTGGCGGTGGTGGCCGCGGAGGCGAGGCGGCTCCAACGACAGTCGTCTGTCAGCGAGGCGGGGCGGGGCGGGGCGGACCTGTGGTCAAGCACTGCGGCCGACTGCGCGGCACCCATCAAAGTGTACTTTGTACTGACTTTGCCGTCGACGGCCTGCCTCTCCGCGCGGCCTCCGCCTAGCCACATAGCCGTCAAGAGGTCCCCGTCGAGGGCCGCCCGTCGAGGGCCGCCCTGGGCCAACGCTCCACCTGCCCCCCCGTGAAAAACGACGGTGCGATTTTACGGCGCGACCCGCGCAAGGTCACGGCAAGGTCACGTGCTCGCCTGCTCCCAAAGGATCCGGCCTGGCCAAGCCCGCCTTCCGGTGTGTCCCTCGGGACCCTCAAAGTGGATTCGCCACTAAGACGCTCGCGTTAAGCCGACTGGCGGTCAGCGCTGCGGGGCGCGGGGCGCGGCTAACTGCGGCCGCTCAAGGGTTAGTTCCCCGCTCCGACTCCACCCCGTGGAGGCCGCGGCGTCGCCAGATGGCCGTGAGTGCCGCTGCAGGTGCCGCCGCGGTCTAACGGCAACCCGGCTGCACTCAAAGCCCAATCAGGTGCGGCGCCGCGGCGCCCAGACAATGTAGTACCCGGCGGCGCGCGGCGATAATCAACAGCTGGAGGCGGGGCGAGGCGGAGGCACCGTAAGTGACGCCGACGGCTCCATTCGCCTTTCATCAGCGCGAGACACTGCGGTGCGGTTCAGCGGAGCGACTGCGCGCGAGACGCCGCCGCCATCATGACCGTCATCATGGCCGTGGGCCTGGCCCTGGGCACGCACGCCGTCAAGCGAACCGGGGAGGAAAGCGACCTCCCCCCCCCCCTCCACCTCCTCGTCCTCTCATTTCCCTGCGACCTTGCACCAGAGGCCGCTAGCAAGTGCGTCGCCTTTGAGCGGCACGCCGCCCTTCAGGACCACGGGGGCCTCCCGGGCCTCGGGGACCCGCTCCAGGCGGACGAGAGACGCCGTCCCACCTCCTCAAGGTGAGCCGTGGCGCGCAAAAGCCTGCGACCCTGGTTTCAAAAACACGTCGTCCTTTTCTCGCTGTGCGCAAAAAGTTTTCAGCGCCAAGTTATTTCTCTTCAAAATTACCGGGAAACTGGAAAATACTGTAATTCTCGAGAATTTCCGAACACTGCCTTGTCAACTCTATCTTCAGTAAAGTTCGGCGTAGCCCGTTCGTGGATGGGGACGGGATAACTACCAGAAGCAGCAGCCCGCCACCAGCTCCTCGAGGGACTTCGTCACCTGCCAGCCCCGCCAGCCCCGCCAGCCACCGAGTTCCATGTCGGCACGACCAGACGACTCGAACGGCAGTCCCGTCGTAAAAAGCAGCGAGCCAAATAAACTGCGGCGGCGGGTCTGGTCTGGTCTGGTCCGGAGCACAGAGCGCGGGGCCGCGTCGATTGGGGGACGGGGGCGACCAGACCCAGGGCGGCCAGGGCCCCTTTAGTGGCCGTGGTTCACGCCAAATGCCATAAAAATCGCGCATTTTGTGAAGGAAGGAAGACTTTGGCGCTGCCCCCGCGCCGCCACCACGTCGAGGCGGCTGGCTACGCCCGTGAGTGCGACGTCGGCGGGGTGGCCTCGCCCGCGGCGCCGCGGCCCACATTGCATTTCCCAGCAGACCTAGGCAAGGGCCTCGGACGTGCTGTGGCTGCGGCGGGGTCGCCGACCTCGGCCTCGGCGGGGAGGTTGGCGGCGTCGGGGCCGATGTCCTTGGCGAGGCGATACACTGAGTTACTCGCTCCTCCTCCCATCCCCGTCCGCCAAATTCGTCAAGTTGGCCGCGGCGACCGAGCGGCGCCGAGCGCGCCCCTCTAGCCGTGCCGCGCCGTGCCGCGCCGTGCCGCCATGCGGTCGTCTGCCCCGGCCTGCCCGTCCCCGGGCCTGCGGTGGGGCGGGGCCGGGCGCGCTGGAACTTGATCTGCACAGTGTCGCCCCCATTTTAATTTGAGTGGCAGCAGGGAGCAGGGGCCAGGCACTCTGTGTCTGCGACGTCTGCGACCCTGGAGGCTAGAGCGGGCTGGAGCGGGCTGGAGCGGGCTGGAGGGCGAGCGCCTGCAGAACGCAGGGCGGGCCGCGCCGCCGGGCACGGCAGTGGGGCGGGCGTGCCTACCCGGCAGGCGCGAGGCCGCCGGGGAGGTAGGCAGCGTCGCACGCCGCGCCGTGTCGCGGTGGCGTGGCGGTGCCTACCTCGCAGGCGAGCAGCCCGAGCGGACAGCCTCGAGAAGAATGCCGCTCTGTGGGGGCGTTGATGAGACAGTGAAGGATGGGGTGGGGCGGGCGCGGCGCGGCACGGCCCTAGGGCCTGGAGGGCCTGGAGGGCCTGGAGCGGGGCGCAGCGGCCGCGAATCCAGTCCAGATGAACCTCCGGAAAGAGGGCGGGGTGGTCGCCGGCTGTCTGCACCCCAGCAGCCCCTCGCCCCAGTGCCGTCGCCGTCGAGGGGAGTGGCAGGTGTAGCAGCGTGGCCCGGCGCGCTCTGCCTCAGGGGACTTCCACGGCCCGGGCGGCCCTCATCACGATGGGGGCCTCGAGGAGAGTATCCAATATCCAGAGGGAAGGCCGAGCGCCAAGCCGCGGAGCAACAGATCTGCGGCCCTAAGACTCGGGGTCTCTTCCAGCGATACGCCACGCTCTCCCTCGAGCAGCACGCGATTAGCGATGGCGTTCGGGGAGCAGTGTCGCCATCACACTGTGAAAATTTGAGTCGTCACTTGATGACAATTTCAAGGCTCATTTTCCTCACAACAATACAATTGATGACATTGTTGTCACGCCCATGCAATAAGAATAGGGGCTTTGATGAAAATATCATCAATTTTGTGATGAGATGGTTATCATTTGAAAGAGAAGAGATAAAAATATTATCCACGTTTTTTACATAAAGTGATTACAAATTTTCACAGTGCACACGGCAAGCAACTTGCTAAGTTGTTTTCTTATTTCTGGTGTTTCCCACGCGGAACGGTGTCTCCACGAGCACCTGCCATCCCTTTCAGACAAACTTCAATGCGTCCAAAGCTACTCAAAACCTTCCCGCCTCGAAAGCTCGCATTGGAAGCTTGCACCCGTCACGCACCGACGCATCCTTTTTCCGTGGACACTCCGGACACGAACAAAACGGCATGCCATCGCCAATGCATCCGCGATCCACGCGCCAGGCGGGGGCGGGGGGCCGATCGGACTTAATGAAGTTATTCGCGAAATGCGGCCATGGCATCGCCATGCCGGCCGTGGCAGCGGGGGCACAACGCAGAGAGAGAGGGACGAAACTCGATTTTTTAAATAAGAGGGCAAACGAACGGATGGAGCTCCGCAGCGCTCCGCAGCCTCCGTCCGGGGCTGAGGTGTGAAAGCGTTCATTTGCGTGACGATGATCGATTGCCCGGGGAGCACACTGCACGGACTCATTCCCAACTGCGCCCCGCCGCTGCGTCTCCCTCGCACCCCCACGGGGCGCCCCGCGAGTGCGCGAGAGACAGAGCGACGGGAGCATTGTTTCGGCCTGCCGGCCCGCCGGGGCAGGGCGCTGCGCGCAGTGACTCACATCCAGGCGTCACCGCCATTCCCTGGGGACCGGTGCTCGCCTCACCTGGAAAACGAGAAAGAACGCCGTTACACCAATGCATTACAAATAAGAGTACAAAAACGAAAGGAACAGGAAACAAAAGAGGGAGCTGCTCGACACAGAAGAGGGAAAAGGAAGGCGATCCAAATCCACCCGGCATTGCAGAGCCAAGAGTCTATGACATTAAGCCTTTTCGCCTTCCCTAAGACCCTGCCCTTTCATGCCCTGCCTCGGGAACGCTTTGAACGCGGCTGATTTAGGAGCACCAGCCTCGCGAAAATGGCCAAGAAAAGTTTGGAGCAGCGACTTTCGCTCGCTTTTGCTGACTTTGGGCGGCCACCACTGCGTCCAATCCCATTTTGATCCCATTGCTGTCAGAAGGCCACTGCTACCCAAGGCAGTGTCCGTCATCTTAGTGTGGTGTCACAGAGGCACACACGGAAGGCGACGAACCGAAAGAGACTCCGTTTTGGCAGCCGAGTGCCGCTTTGCCGCAGCCTGTGCCGCGTGCTGCGCCTTTCTCGGGTCGTTGTCTGTGCGCCGCTTCTCTTGGCCGCGGACTGCCGACTCGACTGCGCGGCACACTGTGCACGGCACACAATGGGACCGGGCCGCAGTGCAGTGCCGCCTGTTGCCGTGCACTGCCTGACTTGCATCGTGGGACTCCAGGGACTTCCCGCATCGGGCCAACAAAGGGGCTTAATTCCGATGATAACTCTGTTGACTCAGTGCCGCCCGGGCCGA